GGGGGGGGGGGGAGTCACTGATGGGACATTGGGAGAGGTTCTGCCTCTTTAGAACCTCCTGCTTTCTGGATGGCCTTCCGGAAACCACCTTTCCTACAAGTGGTTTCCTCTGGCACTGGCCAGGTGTGGGGCTGCCTCACCAGTGTCGGGGAGGGCTCTGTAGGAATACTTGGGCCAGGGCCTGCAAGGCCAGGAGGCAGGCACAAATGGGCCCAGCCCCTGGCCCATGATGGATGTGCAGAAGCCTCTGAGGAAGCTGGGGCAAATGGCTGCTGCCATCTTGGGTTGACCCCTGTGCATTCTCCTACAGGCAGCATCTCCAATTCCAGCTTTCAGTCCATCAAGTCTGTCTCAAATTCGACGGTGTCAGGTAAGCGTGCCAGCACCCTCCATGTGCCCAGGGTTGGAGGAGGGGCAAGTGCCCCACTGTGACCCCAGGCCTAAAAGCCCCTAGTGGTTCTCTGTTGGGCAGCCACTGGAGGAGCTTCTTGGCCAGGACCCACGGACTTAGGGGTTAAGGGACCAAGAAGGGTGCAGTGAGCTGAAAACACCAGAAGGGCGCTGAGGCAGGGTGGGATGGGACTGTGAGACGGCCGGAGGGAGGCTGCAAAAGCAAGGCGGGCCTGCCTGCAAAGAGCAGTCTCAACGTGGGGCATAAGGTCCCCTGGCAGGTTCACCCCAGGGTGGGGTTGTGAGCAGACTGACAGAGGAGCCCTGGGTGTCCCCCAAGCCTCCCTGAGTGGTCTTCCAGGTAGCGAGTGGTTGGCTGGCTGCCCTGGCAGAATGTAGTATCCCCACAAAGCAGGCAGGACTCAGGTGGCATGTCCCTGTCTACAGAGCCCTGGGCTTGTGGTGTCTGTCCTTCACAGTGTAAGGACTGCCAAGAGCCTCTTCTCCCCACTCCACCTCCCTGAGAAGCCAGGCATCCTGACCAGGAGTGGCCCCTGTCCTTTCCAAGGACCCAGGCAGGCCATGGGCTTTGTCTTTGGAAAGTAAACCTGTGCAGGCCAAGTCTAGACCTCTCATTGTTTCGTTTTGCCCCAAATTGGATGCCTCTTCAGTCAGTCAGGGAAGTTTGTGGGGCCACCCCCAGCCCCGGCATTCCCCCAGCCCTGGGAGGAGACTGGCCCATTCCAAGTGTGTCAGAGCATTCAGCAGGCACCACCCAATGGTTTCATCCTCAGACCCTCATTCGTGTTTCCCAGCAGGGGGTTCTGTTATCATCTCCCCTTTACCAGGAGATAACTGAGGCAGGGGTAAGGGCTCCTTGGGTGCACACAGCTGATCCTGTAGGACTTGGGCACTGGCTCTTGACTGGCCCTGTCTGGGTCTGCCCTGTAGCCAGCTCTCAAGGCAAGGCCAGGCCCCAGCCCAGCTCCTTCAAGAAGCAAGACTCGAAAGCTGACATTCCCCAGAAGGTGGACCTGGAAGAGGAGCCCCCTGTCGCCGCCTTGCTCCACAGCAAGCTGGACAGAGCCCCTGGGGCACAGGGGCCAGCCAAGTAAGGCATTTAGTAGGTTCACACCCCAGATTCAACTTTGCTTTCTAAATGGGCCAGCCTCTAGGGTGAACCAAACTGGGAGTCCTGCAGGGGCCAGCAGCAGCCCCTACACCGCTTTTTCAAAGAATTTGGCCTCCAAATGAGCTTGCTTTTTCACTGAGAACAGTCAGTTTCCCAGGCTCCACCTGGGAAGCCTGCGTGGCTTTTGCAAGGCAGTCAGTAGGACAGATCTGGACCAGGTTCTGGTGACACCCCCGTTTCTGGGACTTCCCTGGAAATCAGCAGTGAGCCTAGGCTTTGCACCTGACAAGGAGATCCCACTATCCTTCAGGTAGTGCAGCCAGCAGGACCAGCTCCTGCTTCTCTGCATGGTCCTTAGATTCTCTCTTGATCAGCGCCACCAGATTTGTGGTCAGGATACCTCAAACCACATCTGACCCTCAGTGTACCCTGAGAGGGGAGGAAGGCACGGGCCCAGCTCACAGCTGGCACCAGAGACCTCCACCTGGTGCCTGGAGCACAATGGTCATCAGAAGGAAGCCAGATCCCAGGGGGCTGTCAACACCTCTCTTTCCCACGTTGGCCTCATGCTGGTGAGGGTGCTGCCCTGAGGAGAGGTGGTAGGTAGTTAGACCAACCTGGCAGGCTACCTCTGGGCTGCTGCAATGACCATTTCAGAGATGAAGAAGTGGAGACTTTTAATCCAGAGGCTACCTCGGTGGCAGGCAGCCAGCACAAGGGCAAGCAGGTGATGGGGGCACCCCCCTTGATGAGTCTGCCCCCGCACTTGCGTAAGCACACCTCGATTCAGCAGTGTGAGGTGGTCATCCGCCAGCTGTGGAACGCCAATCTCTTGCAGGCCCAAGAGGTGAGTCTTGGGTGGCCAGGGCGACCCTGGTGCAGCTGCAGCCTCAGCCACCATACCTCTTCTCCTTGCCGTACAGCTGCAGCACCTCAAGTCCCTCCTGGAAGAGACCCAGAGGCCTAAGGCTGCCCCCGAGGAGGCTGATCTGAATTCTCCCAAGTAAGTACCTGGTGCAGTCCTCGCCCCACTACGGCAGGGCCTGGTTGTGTGAGGCTCACTGCTGACTCTTCCTTCATCAGGGAACAGGAGGTCACGCAGCTCCCCAAGGTCCCCAAGGGTGTCTCTAAGAAATGGTGAGTCCCAGGGGCACAGGGAGGGTGGCGGGTGCCCACAATGAGGGGAGGGCCAGGCACAACAGAGAGCAGGCCCTGGCTCTGCGGCTCACCCAGCAGCTGTTCCCAGTCACGCCTCCGCTGCCCGCCCTCTGCCCCTGCCAGCCTGATCCTGAGCCCAGTGCCCGCAGCGGAGCGTGCCATCCTGCCTGCACTGAAGCAGACCCTGAAGAGTAACTTTGCCGAGAGGCAGAAAAGGCTGCAGGTGGTACAGAACCGGCGGCTGCACCGCTCGGTGCTCTGAGTGTTCCCGGCAGCCCCAGTCACAGCTGGAGATACTAACCCTCTCTAGGTAGCATCCCAAAAGAATTCTAATTCCACATAAACCAAACTCACGGCAGATAAAGTCCTTGTTCTCAGAACTGAGAAACTGTTTATTTTCTTGCTCAGTATTTAGCTATTCTGCATTTACACAAAAACACATTATAAATTTTACCCCACCTGTTGAAGACAAAATAAAGCTCATTTCTCCCAGGTCTTCGTCTGTCTCTGGCTGTCAGGTGTCCTTGCCCCGGGAGGGCTCCTAGCTCTGCTACCTATAATTGGGGGACAGCTAAAAACTACCTCGGGCACAGCACGTGCTCCCTTCTTGGGCCGGGGGCTACCTTCCATGCACATGGGCACTCAAGGTTTCCTGCCTGACTGGACACTCCTGGAGGCGAGATGCCATCCTCCTGCCTCAGCAACATCCTGTGTCTACACCAGCAAATAGCCAATGAGCTGCCACGCTGAGCCCACCTTCCTCTGTGGAGAGCCACATGAGAATGGTTCTCTCCAGGGCACTGGGGCCCCACCCTGTGATGGCCCCATCCTTTGAGGGCCTCATGTCACTCCCCACAATCGCCAGAACAGCAGCTTTGTGGCACATCTCATGGGTGTGTGTGGCCAATTTAGTGCTGAACCTCACCCGACAGGACAGTCCTTCTGGCCCCACTGGCCGTTTCCGTGCTAATCTCTGCCTCTTCCAGCTTCAGGGAGCAGGAACTTTGCCAGAAACCTGGAGGTGAACCAGGATGAGGCACCAGCAGTTAGATGAGGTGAACTAAGGTCTGGGCACCCATGGTCATGTCCAAGGTGGGGGACCTGGCTCCACTCGGACAATATCCCTCACTGGACAGTGGGCCCTGGACTCATGATGGGTGGGGCACAGTGACGAATTCATGACAAACACAGGAATAATAAATTTATTATAAGAACCACAGATGACATGGTAGTGCACATATAAAAGGGGAACCTCTCGTCACCAGAGGGCCAGCTGATGCCCCGTCAAGGAGCCGCAATCTCTGGAGTGGCTCTGAGGATGCCAGGTCCTGAGGATGGCACCCCAACCCATGAGTGGGCCCAGCTGGTATACACAGTGCCAGAGACAGGATCCTCCCAGAAGCCTCTGCTCCCCAGCATGCCTACAGTGCTGAGCAGGCCCCCAAGGCCCGAAGGGAGAACACCATGAGGTATGAGGCCCAGCCAGTGGTGGGGACTTACAGCCATCCGCAGGCCAGACTTCTCTCTGAGACGCAGCTGGCATCCCTGGATCTGGGAGCCTCCCTGTGACATGGCCCATATGCCAACAGAGGCATGGTCTGAACCCAACACTGTGATCAGAGGATTCTGTGTGTTTTAAGGGTTTCCTATGTTCTCCATGTTCCCCCACAGACACGGGTAGAGTGTTTTCTGGAGCACAGACACACAAGGGGCTCTAACAGGGCCTGACTTCTCCCCCATGCTGCTAAGGACATGGGCCCTGCAGAGGCTACAGGGACAGCAGCCCAATGAACGCAAGTCCAGGGGCACATTCACCTCCCTGGAGGAACTCCTACCCCCACCATCGATGCAGCCAGCTCCGCAGCCGCTTGTCCCAGTCCTGTGTAAGTGGGAAAATGTTTGGTAGGTCCCCAAGGCAGAAGATAAAAGCAGGAAAGCTAACCTAAGCCCAGGCTCTCTAAGGGAGCCAACACCTAGAAAGGTCCAACATGAGGCGTGTCCTCTGTGGCCCCAACAAGGCTGCCGGCTGACCCCGTGGTCCCCGATGGGCTGGCAACCCGAGACCCTGCAGTGGTAGTAGCTAGGCAGCCGAGAGGCAGGCCTGGTGGATGCTCTGCGCCCAGGTGTTGAGCAGGGCTGTAACCGAATGCTTGTCGGGGAGCTGCAGCAGCCTCGAGGTCATGCATCGGTGCACCGACTGCAGGAAGGGGTTGGCGTCTGCAACAGAGCAGTGGGCCTTGAGCGCTGTACCCTCTGCCAGAATAGCTGGCACCACGCCTGGACCCCAGCCCACGTAAGCAACTCTCTGGGTAAGGGGGGGGTGCCCTCACAGGTACAGGGCTGACATGGGGCACATTACCCAGCCACGGTGACCTGGGATGCCATGTCCCACGTACCACTAGTGGCCAGCAGGCTCTCCTGGGGCCATGTGTCACTGGGGAACTGGAATGTAAATGGACCCGGAGCCCAAGGCTTTCCCTTGGGGTCCCTAAGGGAAAGCCTCAGGGTCCCCATCTTGGTCCTCTGTGCGCCAGGACTGAGCTTCAGGGCGACTGTCCTCATCAGTGAAGCTCTCTGGGCCTGTGGCTTAGGGCCATGTCACCCAGATGGGTCCCCATGAACCCAAGCTCCTATCTGTGCCCCCATCAGCCTTGAAGAGGCCCACAAGGGCCACTGAAACAGCTGAGTCTCCTCATTCCTCATCCATTGGACATGGATACCCTGGAGTTGCAGGCCAGGCAAAGGGACACAATGGGGACTGAGACTCTTCTTTCTCCATTGATTGCTGGGCAATCCAATCTTGTCCACAAACGGGGAGCCAGAGAAGAAAAGGGAGAGGCCTAAGCTTGCGGGGAAAGCATATGAAGAAAACTGGTTGCCCAGAGCTGACCCCCGCATGCCCTGGGTCCCCCCTGCAGCTGCCTTCTCGGTTCACCTACCGTACTGCCACTGCCGGTCGATCCATAGCGGGCTCTGGGCAGGGTAGTCAGCAGGCACACTGAACTCCAGTGGTGGTACACTAGGGAGGTCCTTGTCATCTGCAACACAAGAGACTGCGCCTGTGACCCCGCCCGCCTTGCTCACAGTCCTGCTCTGAACACCCCAAAAGGTTCTGGTGAGGCTGCAAAGCCTGGAGATCACTCTGATTCGCAGGCTTTCATATCTTCCCAGGGCCTCAGGCAAGCAGAGCCACACTGGACAGGACGGAGGGGCTTCTCTGGCACACAGGGAACAGGTGAAAGTGTGTGGGCTCACAGCCCGGCCCTTGGTACCTGTCCTGCACCAGATGTGTGAAGATTAAGCAAGACAACTTGGGCAGGCTCCTGAGAAGGACAAAGGGACTGTGGGCCTGGGGCTGTAGTGTGAGTGTGCCTTTCTGTGGGAGGCTGAATGCACGTCATGACGGAGTACACAGTCCTGGGCTGGGCCTATTCTGAGGCACAGCCTGGAAGCCTTGTGCCCCCCACCTCCTCTATGGGCCTCAGGATGCGACAGAGCCTTGGGGCTGCTGCGCTGGGCTCACCCCTCCCCGGGTACTCACCCAGCTTGCATATCAGATGGACAGTGCCGTTGTTACTGCAGTGAGAAGGGTCCAAGCTCACCAGGAACTTGGGGTCTAATCTGGCCACCTCCCCCTGGAGCACGTTGGGGATGCTCTGCCGCTCGTCTTCTTCAAACTTACGCTTCCGGGCACACAGCACTGGCGCCCTGGAGGAGGCGGCCGTGGTGACCACACACTGGGCTAGGCTGTGGCCCATGGCCTGCCACCCGCTACCCACTGCAAGGCTAAGCCTTGGGCTGTACGTACGTGATGGGTGGGCCATGGATGGCCGTCATGGCTGGCACGAATGTTCGGTATAGGGAATGGTTGAAGACAGGTGAGCGGATGTTGGCCAGGACGGCATCCAGAAGCGGCTGGCACAGGTACTGCTGTTTGGTTGGTGGTACTGGGGGTGGTGGGGGCGTGGGCTGGGACAGGACAGGTGGGGTCAGCAGCCCACTCTTGGGAAGGCTCTCCAGACCCTAAGGCCTTCATCCTTATAGCCAGACTTCCCAAGGATTCCCCACCACCTCCAACCCCTGCAGACTAATGGCTAATCCTGAACACACTCTCCCCAAGTTCCCCACCCAAGGCCAGGCCTAGTGCTGGGCGGGTGGAGGCAGCTTGCAGGAAAGCCCACGGCCTAAGGGTGAAGGGAGACTTCTTCCATTTCCCCACCACCCACAGCAGGCATACCTGGAAGAAGTCTTTGGGCAGGGTCCCCAAGTGGAGTGGTGAGCCCCTTCTGCCCACCCTGGACTGTGAAGATTCCTCCCAGCCTGTGGTTCTGAGTCACTGGCAGGTGTGCCCTGACCTTCCCAGAGATGCCTGCGGCCCTCGGAACACCGCCAGGCCACAGTGCTCCACTCACCACCGCCATGTCATTCTTGAGTTTCTCCAGGGCGATCTCACACTTTTGCAGAGTTTTCAGGGGGCAACTATGGGGAGAGGCCAAGTGGATGACCCTCCAGGCTAGAGGACGAAGGAGCTGGCAGCTCTCACAAGCTGATCCCAACCACTACCCAACTGGTGTCCCGTGGAGAGAGCCAGCTCCGGGGCCTTGGCCACTGGCACCCTCCACAGGAACCCCAGCCAGCTGACCAGCTGTTCCTACACCCAAAGTCTAAGGCAGGTGGTCCCACCCCAGGAGCAGCCTGGCCCTGGTCGGCAGAACAAGGCATACATGTGACGAGCCAAGGGGAGGCACAGAGGCCAAGCCCCTGCCCACCCTGGCTAGATAACCCCAATGAAGGCCTGGTGGGCCATCCAGCTCCAATAGGCCTGTTCTGCAGTGTCTAGCGTTCTGTCCAGATAAACAAAACAGGGAAGACCTTCTAGAAGAGGAGTATAGCTTGAGCCAAAGGAAGTATCTCAAAGGCCGGACCAGTTCTGTGGCACTGGGCAAGCTCTGGAGCTGAGAGCAGTCTCATGGCTCAGGAAGGGAAATGCGTGCCATATTGAGAATCTGGCGCTCCACTGCCTTTAGAATGCTTCTCAAGGCACTGTCTTGTTTCATTTTCATAGCTAATGTGTGTGAGTCACAGCTATCAGATGGGGTAACTGAGACACAGGTGCCTGCCCAAGGCCACTGGTAGGTAAGTCAGGGGCAGCAATGAAGACAGGCCTCTCTCAGCCAGCTGGATTAATGAAGGCCACTACAAGCCCAGACTTGGCCAATGGCCTGATGAGACACGGCTGTGATAGCCACAAGGTAGAAGGGTGAGGACCCTGGCAGTGGCCTGGAACAGGGCAGAGTTTATGTGCTGGAAAGGTAGAGGGCAAAGGCTTGAAGCCCCAGGAGGCACAATTAAGTAGAGCCCTGGAGCCCCTTCTCTAAACTCCGCATTGTTACCAAGTGCCTGCACTGTTACCTAGGCTGGGCCAACTGAGCACTCAGGGAGCCTCCGTGAGCCATGACACGGCACCACTCACCCCCAGGGGCCTGAGGACAAAGCTCACCGTTTGGAAGGGTCTGTCAGGATGTCCAGAAGGCTCTTCATCTTACTCAAGTCCTTTTTTCTGTCTGGAACAAAAGAGGGGACACTAAGACACACAGCCTAGGGGTCTGTGAGCCCCAACCCCGCCCCCGTCCCACCCCGGCTCCACCCCTACCTTCATTCTTATCAATCTTGTTGATCATGCGGCGCAGGGGCTCGATGTACTTGGACAGCTGCTTCAGCTTATCCAGGTACTGCTGCTCCTCAGCCTGGCTGGAGCCCGCTGGGCTCATGACTGAGCTGGGGTTCACTGCAGGACACAGCCCAGTAAGTGCCGCCTAGCCCACGAAGGCCCAGCTCTCTGCAAACCCTTAAGGTGGGGTGCTTGGGCTCCAAGGGGATCGAATTTGTTCACCCGCTTATAAGCTGAGGCCTCATGAGGGTGAGGGGGTGACTCAGCACCTCAACTCGCAGGACTGTGTGGGTGACACGATGGGCTCTGGGCCTTGGGCTGTGCCTGCCCCAGGCCCAACTTACCAGGGGTGTTTAAAGGTCCTGGGGAGGGGACGCTGAAGTTCTGCGGGGTGCGCGCCGTCACTGGACTCTGGGAGGGCTGTGGTGAGGGGCTGGGCAGGAAGCTACTTGGGGATGGGGCAGGGCCGGAGCTGCAGCAAATCGAAAGGGATCATGTCTGTGAGCCATGGGCACGGGGCAGGGCCCTCCCTGTGAGCCAGGCAGGGAGGGGCACCCCGGCTAGGCCTACCTGACGTTGGAGTTGGGCTGCGAGCTGGGCTGGCCAGGCTGCGGGGACGGCTGGGGGGGAGGGGGCATCGACTGCGGGGTCTGCACCTGCTGGCCCGGCGACGGCGAGGACAGCATGGTGAGGCTGTTCTGGCTGACCTGGAAGTGGAGGGGGCTCAGCCTGCTCGCCTTCCACACACTCTCACTCCCGCTGTCCTCTTGCTCCCACCTGCCCGGGCCTGAGGACCCCACCTACACACACAGCCCCGCTCTCTCATACAGCCTCACCACACACTCTTGTCTTTCTTTGACGCCCTGCTTCTCAGAGACTAACAGGCACACACCTCACCCTGTGGATACACACACAAGCACATGGTGACCAAAATGCTGCAGAAAGGCCAGGCTGCTCGTGTAGCCCTTGCTCCACGGCAGGGAGACTCCTGAAGAACTGGGCCTTCTGTGCTGGGAAAAGACATCCCCATGTCCTTACCTCATGGGTGTGGAAGCCTGTGGGGCGGGAGGCTGGGGAAGGCTTATGGCCTTGGATGGCACTGACCAGCCTCCCCTGGTCTGTGAGCTCTCTGTGGGCCCCACTCTGTGACAGATGCGACCATCTTCCTGCATGCTTCCATGTACTTCCTCAGCCCCCCCAGCCACAGGGAGAGACTGCGTCTTGCACTTAATGGAAACAAAGTGGTCCTGGTATCAGCCCTCGCCAGCATGCCTGGCCCAGGGCTTCTCAGTCTGGACCCATGGGCTCCACTGAGAAAGGTGAGCGGCTCAGCATCATTCTCAGAAGCTGTTTCCTTGCCTGTAGAACTGGGGTTCACCCTACTACCTGCAGTCCTCCTTGGGGAGGACAAAACAGGGTCAACTGCACCACTGTCATCAACAAAGACAGTACCCTACTCATCTGTGAACTCCACAGGATGAAACCACATCACCGAGGAATCAGGAACAAGGATGTGTGAAATAACCACTTTCCACAAAAAAAGTTCAAGATGGCAGTTCCAGATGGTGAGGACAGCTGTGGGGAGGCAGCTGCCTGCCAGCCCTGGGTGCCCAGCCTCCCCTGGAATGAGCCCCGCAGAGAGCTACCTCACCCAGTGCCTGGCGATAGTGGCACAGCCCTCTGTCAAATTGGGATAACCTCAAAGGCTCTGCTAACCTCAGCATTCCCAGCGGTTGGCAGTGGCCTCTCCCACGGCCTAGGCAGTTTCTTGCACACTGAGCGTCACCTCAGAGTCTGCATCCTGAAGCCCAGCGCACACCCCACCTCCTGAACCATCCAGTTTGACAGACCAACTCTGGCCTCGCACAGTGAACTCCGGACACCACCGTCTGGTGCGGCGTCACGCCTCTCTCCCGCACACTACTCCACCATGGCGCTGGGTTAGGATCCCTTGGAATGGGTTGCTGCCTTCCAGTGCTTGTGTCAGGCAGCAGGAAGGAGTGTTTGGAGGAGCCCAGATCCTACCAGGAACAGAGAATGCCGCCCTCCTCACCCACATATCCCACTGGCCGGGCAGGGGTGGGCATGAGGCTCTGCCCTTTCCCCCGTACTGCTCGGACCAAGCTCCAGGAGAGAAACCTTCCCCGCCTGCTCTTCAGCTTCCTACCCCTCCTACCGAGTGTGCAGGATGGAGCTGCAGGGCACATGGAGACCACATTATGACACTTCTAACATGGCCGGGTCAGAGAGGCACCGAGTCCAAGATGGAATAGACTGTTCCCAACCCTGGTGACCAGGACCCCAGCCCGGAGCAGAGGACATGGAGTGAGCGAGCTTGAGGGGAGCAAAATGGTTCCAGGTGTTTTATGCTGACACCAGCAAGGGCACAAATGGGCCTAGAGTGGCTTAGTTTGCTGAGGTGAACCAAGCACAGCAGCTGTTCCCCGCGCAGGACTCCCCTTCATGGTACCTGGGTACACCGAGTCCCGGGGCCTCATGGCCTCTGCGCTGGAAAGTATGTTTCAGAATCCACTCAACTCCCAGAACTACAAAGGTAAACAGGTTTCCTCAGAAAAGTCCATGCAGAGAACCACATATGGTGCCAAGAAAGAGAAGCAAAGGCCCTGGGACCCCATTCTGGGCCCAGACTCTCAGGCACGGGCACCCTCCTTGTAAAGCCTTGCTCCTCACCTGCCTGCCGAGCCCCAGCCATCACCTCCCCTTTCCTTGAACCAACATGCTGCCATTCTCTGTCCTATAGTCCCTGAAGCTGCCTCTTGCCTCTCCCTCTTCCTGCCTACAGGTCAAACCCCCTCACCTGGTCTTTTCCTGACCATCTGGACCCCACCTGCCCCTAACCTGCCCAGAGAGGTATCTCATCCTCAGCCTCTGCTCAAGCAGCTGTCCCTTCTAGAGGGTGTTCAGCTCTTGTCTGCAGTCTAAAGCTGGTGCTTCTCTGAAAGGGCATGAGGCACCTGCTGGCATGAGGCCACTACAGCGGGAAGGTTACTTCAAGTTCATGTCTTACCTCAATGTCTAAAGCTGTATTTTAAGAGGTACCCTCAGCACTTGGACCACAGGAAAATAGAGTGCATTTGCCCACACCCTCTGCTTTTTGGGTTCCATGGAGCCACTGAAAGCATACATCTCCCCCAGGCATGAGACAGAGGGTCTAAAACACAGTGAATAGCAGCCTGCCCAGGCTGAAGGTACAAGCTCAGTGCTTCTGCTTCTTCCCCAAACCCTCCTCCCATGTCTAGCCCTGGGCTCTGCCCCTCTGGCTACTGTGGCCACCATCTGCAAACCTGCTAAAGAAAACTACTTGGCCTCCAACATCCAATCCGGATCTCTTTGCCTCTGATAGCTCCTCTGGAAAAATGCACAATTCCCATTGGCAGCAAACACTGCCCCTCACAAGCCTTCAGGACTCCTCTCTGGGCATCAGCGCTGGGCAGCCCAAGGCTCCCAGGCCTCCCAAATCTAGAGTAACCAAAGACACACTTAGGGTGGGAAGCAGCCACCCAAAGGCCCACGTCAAGAAAGAACTGGCCTAGCAAGGCTGCTAACGAGATAGTAACCCCTGGTCCTCAGGTTTGTTGTCGGGTCCAGCTCGCCTCTGGGACCAAGGAGAGCAAGATGACTATGCTCCCTCAGTCTGTGACAAGCCTATCGGGGAGAACTGTGCTCCTGCTCTGCATCTTTCACTTCTCTGGCACATTCTGCCACAGGCATGGGTGTGTCTGTCACAACCACTAGCAAAACCCCAAAACATAAATGCTATACCTCCCAGGGAGGGAGCTTGAGTGCCTCTCATGCACCCCACACCTATGTGGTCACAGACAGGAAGTAGGAGCTCAGAGGGAAGTGACTCACTCAATGTCCATGGCTAGTGGGGGAATCCAGGCACCTCAGTGCCACCTGCTTCCTGAGGGAGCAAAGACAAGTGAGAAGGGGCCTGCCAAGACAAGGCTGGAGGCAGGGTAGATGGAGAAAGCGTGCAGAGGGGAAGCAACAGAGACGGATCGTGGGGCCAGAGGACAGCAAGGCTGGTCTGGGAAGCCTCGTGCTGTGAAGAAACCTCAGGGGAGGCTGGCGGTGCCATGCATTCCAGCCTTCTTAGGACCACCTGCACCTGCCGAACATCCCTGGAACTGCCCTGAGTTCCTGGCCCCACGCACATGATGTCTCCAGGAGTCACTCTCCAGAGCAAAGTGGAATATGGGTCCCTTTATGGTGCCACCTGCTTACACCTACCAAGGGAGTGTTGGGACAGGAACCCATGTCACTCCTGGACTCCCATGCTGGGCACTGTCTTGCATGTGCCCAGCACAGAATCTTGCAACCATGGGACATATCCTAGGAAAGCGCTGGAGAAGAAGCGGAGACGAGGGAGCCCCATTTTAAGAAGAGCTTGTTTTCTTGAACCCAATTTTTCACCAAAGGAAAGAACAAAACCAGAGAGGCACCATCGATGCTGAAGCACATCCCGCTGGGGGCTACATGCAGGTGGCTGGGGGTGACTAGCAGCCACATGACATGCCATACAAACACACCAAGGTCATACAGACACATCAAGGTCCAAAGGTGACAGCTGCTGAGAATTCAGGTGGGATCCCTATTGAGATTGCAAGGGCGGCCCCTAGCTATGTTTTAATGATGCATTTCTGGAATATGCTATCTATTCTCAGAAGGGACTGGATTATAAAGACATGGACACGAAACAGCTGCATACCAATTCTGGAACCAGCTCTATGTTGAGCAGAATGCCCAGTGTGTCTGGCCCTGTATGGGGGAGGAGGAGTGGGTTTAAACCCTGAAGATGCCAGGGAAAGGCAGGGGCTACTATCTGCCAGGATTACAGATACATTTCCCTTACAAGAGAAAATGAATTTTAAAGTTTTGGCAAATCTGAAGCTTTCATGGCAAACCCACTAAAATGGAAAGCCCATAAGATAAGGGAACTTCATCTGCATTTTAGCCCCTGAATCCTAGACTGGTGCTTAGTCCACAGAATGCACATGAGTATTTGTTCAACAAATGAATATACCACAGAAAAATTCCAAATTTCATACCATAAAAGAACCAAAAATCCATATCTCTGAAATACTATAATGTACACAGAAGTCTTTATCTACCTGGAAAGGGGTGTGTGTGTAGTAAATTCTAGAACACCACAGTCTGACAGAACTTTTCATGCCTGTGGACTTGACAATCTGTGCTGTCCGGTATGACAGTCACTAGCTTCCCCAAGGGGCTACTAGTACTTGAAATGTAATTGAATTGCAACTGAACATAACTTGAGAAACTGGATTTTTCGTTTTATTTAACTAATTTAAATATAAATAACCAGGTATGGCTAATGGCTATAGTATTTGACAGCACAGCCCTAGAAAGTCAAACTATTTGCTTAGCTTCTATTTTATTTTACCATGAAAATGACAGCAGCATAACTATCTAAAACATTAAAATTTCAAAAAGATATTTTGCTCCCACCTTCTCCAGAAAATGAAAACATTGGAACTATTCAAAATATTAAAGTGAAAATAAGCCCAGATATTTACTCACATCCCCTCAAGAAACACGAGCCGGGTATGGCCTCAGGTAAGCTTGGTTAGGCACTCTGAGCGCCACACTGTGAAGGAAGTCACCGAGATTACAGTGTGCCTCACAAAGGTGCTCAGAGGGCCCCAAGCTTCCCGGGGGCCCTGGGTGCCGCCCCGTAAATACCTGTGCTGAGGGCTGTCCGCCCAAAGGGATGGAGCTTGACGGGACAGCAGACACGGCAGTGGTGGGCGGGAACCGGGCTCTTACTTGCATCCCGCCTTGGGCCAAGGCTGCGGCAATCATCTTGAGGAGAGGGACAACAGACAAGGTGATCGCAACAAAGAAACGCAGTGCACGGGCAAGTGAAGAGGGGTGTGCAGCCTCCGTGACAAGGAGCGCTCACGGGGCTAGGGAAGGCCTGGGAGGGGGAGGCGGGCCTATATGTTCAAGCATCCAGCACTGAGGCCCATCTAGTCATCAGGAATCTATAGGAGCTGCCGCAAATGCTCCTCTAGACCTCTCTATTCTGTTGGCTGCACTCCTTTGACAAACATCTGATCTGCTGATGTGCCCACAGAGCCTTCAAGGCCAGACCTCAAGGGCCAGGGCTGGTGTTTCTGATAGATCAAGCTCCTGGGACAGACTCTGAGAAAGTACAGTCCACCAAAGCTGGCTATTTATGGTATTTAGGAGAAGTCAGCCATCATTAAAACAGAGGAAGAGCTCAGGTAAGCCGGCTCACAGCACCTATCCTTCCCTAAGAAGTATGCTACTGACAAAAATGCTTCTGAGGGCCTGAATTCAAACCATCCTCCTATCTTCATGCCTGAGTCTCTGCCGGGGAACTGGTTTATCACCAAATTCAAGGGCAGGTGGACAAGGGAAGCCTGGGACTCTGCCTAAAGCCTTGAACTAGTGAGGAGGTGCACTTCCCCCAAAGATAAAGGTCAGGTCTGTTCCTAAACGCAGAAGATGAGTCTAGACTCCAGAATTCCAGCATGTGCTGGGACCATTCTCATCGACTTATACTTCTGGAAGCATCAAGGCAGCAGTGTCATGGGTTAAGGCCTGGCTTGCACTGAGACCTCTGGCATCACAAGCATGTCCCACATTCATACCCACAGGCTGCATGCAGCAGGCACTGCAAGCCGGGGGCGACACAAGCAGTAGCAGGTTCCAACCTGAACCTTGTAACAGCACAAAAATGGGGCAGCTCTCAGGCAGGGCTAGGGGGGCAGATGTTCCCCTTAGCCACTCCAACAAAAGAAATACCTAGGGGTGGATGGCAAGGAAGCCATTTTGGTGTCTGCCAAATTCAAGCACAGTCCTGAAGAGCCTACCACTCACTAGCCATCAGACACAAAGTGGGATATTTGTGGGCGTGTGAGGACAGAAATCTAAGGAAAACACACCTCCCTCCCGGAAGGCCCACTCCTGCGCATCCAGGGTGAGGCTGAAAGCAACTCTCTCCTGGGTTTGGCTCTCAGCCCCTGGTCAGGTGAGGGTAACGGTGAACAGTGTCTGTTTACGATCAGCACTGCACTGCTGTCGGCGGAGCCCATCTGAGCCTGCTGACCACTCAACAATGCTCTTTCCAGAGGGAGAAAGGCCTGGAAGTAAGTCAGGTGGCAAGAGAGATGCAAATTTTTTGTAAGAAGATAAAGTGATAGGAAACGAAAAGCTTAAATCTAACTTGCTGCTGACCGGTTTCTTTGTAACTGAGAACTCCTGAGAGGGAAAGCTCATTTTCTTTTAAACACAAATTCTAATAAAAACACAGCAGTACTGTTTACTGGATCAGATGAACCAGGCAGTAAACACCCAGCAAATCATTCTCTCATTTTCTCAAGTCACATTTCTCTACCTCCCAACACACATCCATCCAGAAAGGAATTCAAGCTCCTTCCCGAAGGCTGGGATACTGGCTCCAATGAGGCCACTGGGCACGCGGGCCCAGAAAGAAGAAAGAGGGGTCCACGCAGGTGCCACATTAGGGAAGTGTCTTTGATGAGAATTCTTTGTAACTTGAGAATTATAGTTAAGCTTCTATGCACTAGGAAAATAGAATGTTAAAAGACAAAAGCTTAAGGACTGTTTGGAAATGGAGACACATTCTGTTCTGGTTTCATCTGCAGTCACAGATAAAATTTAGGAGAGAAAAAAAGTCAGTGCAGGTATCCAGCTGTGCCCTAGTAAATCCCACTGCGGTGACAGCGACATCAGCTTTTTCATCTACACGAGTAACATCAGATACAAGAGCCAGGTGTATGCAGAAAAGGGCACATCGATTTTCCTGGAACACCAAAACCACAAAACTCAGCCCCTGGGTTTAACAGTCCTGGCCACTCATCGGGCCATAGCACTGCCAAGCATTTGACAAGGCACTGCTTTTCTGCTCTGAGGGGGGCAGATTTGAGAGATAAGGCATAGAGCAGTGGTCCCCTACCTTTTTGGTACCAGGGACCAGTGATCCTATGAGAATCTAATCCTATGATGATCTGAGGTGGAGCTGAGGCGGTGATGCTAGTGCTGGGGAGTGGCTGCAAATACAGATGAAGCTGCGCTCGCTACCTGCCTCTCACCTTCTGCTGTGCGGCCTGGTTCCAGTCTGTGGCCTGGAGGTTAGAGACCCCTAGCATAGAGGGCTGCCAGCTCAGGCCCGCCAATCCCAACACTTGTTTCATGGAATCAGCGCCAACCCGTGTGTAGCAGCTCACATACGTAAAGTTGCAACAGATAGTCCCTGTGTCCTGATGTCAAATGCATGAGTACCACATAGAAGTCCTAGTCTGCAACTGTGAACTCCTGGTAGATGACTGGCTGATACAATTCGAGGGCCTCATAGTGACCCAGTGACTCACTTTTGGGAAGCATCAGGAAACAGTCCAAAACCCAGCTATTCATCAGGACATGCACCCTTGGTAACATCAAAAAACTGGAAATAACCTCAGGCTCCAATAACATGACAGTAGTTAAGGACAGGAGGGTACATTCATAAGAGAAACTACATATAATGCTGACCGAAAATTTTTAATTATAAGAGAACATTTTACTTCTATTGCAATGCAACCAGGAAAGAAGCTATACACAAAATTCTATGTATATCTTATGACTTTGACCATGTGAGAATAGGAAAGAAAAGATACCAAACTGTCTTTCCCACTCTGAAATATTTCCCTTATTTATACTTCTCTCAACTTTCCATCTTCTATAGTCGCCATGTATTCAAGTTTTTTGGTCTGAATTCGTCTAGCCTTGTCTAGTCCACTGTGCCAGAGGAGGCTGCAAAAGAAGGCTGTGAATTCAGAGATCCCCCAGGAGGGCTTGTCATACCTTGTAGACCCCGCTGCTGCTAGAACAATGCAGTGAGGCCAGCAAACCGGCCTCCAGGAAACAGTACTATCTGCCGTGAGCCCAGAGACAAATCAGCAGACCAGAAGCAGAGGACTGCAAGGCACTGCATCAAATTGCACTCCGCACAAGAATGCCCTCTGTGCCACCAGCACCTGGGTATCCCACCGCAGGCTACTCAGCCTAGGGCGAGGCCTCTCACCAGCTCTGCTCGATGCTGGTCTCTGACACACAGAAGGGAGGCGGATGTCACTCCTAAAAACCCTAAAGGCGCACTCATAAAACCGAACCCACCTAAAAGTACTCAAGTGGTGGACCCCTTCATTTCCCCCAGCTACCAAAGTCCCTGCCCAAAAAGAGGTGGCTCAAGCCGCCCTTAGCTCTGCCTGAAGCGCTCCACTAGGAGGGAAAGAAGGTTACAAATCGAGGTTACTCTGGAAATGACTGAGCCTATGGCCTAGCCCCCAGCCAAGCTCCCATGCTGGCTGGACTGGGACCTCCAGCAGAAGCAAAGGGTGGAGTAACCACTGGGAGGAGTGGCACCGTGCACAGGCTCCGTGCGGAGTACTGAGCACACACAGCCGTGGCCGCCTTTAGACAGTGATGAGGCACCAGGGAAGCTCCAGGAGTACAATTCCTTGAGCTAGAAACCTAGGAATAAACCAGTAGGATGGGACCACCGGAAGACATCAACTAACTGTTCTAGGACTACTCGCTTCCCCAACTCTAAGAAATGGGATGGAAAGGGAAGTCCTGTTTCAGGAGGGCCCACTGCAGGATAAAGAATGCCAAGCCTCTCACTTTCCTACTAGACCGGACCCGAGATGCAGAAGTTTCCATTAAGAGTGGTCCTGGAACTGGGCAGTGGTCCTGGAATGTCACAAAGTGGCAAGGGCAGTGGGCTGGGTAGGTGGTGGCTGTGACCATGTACCACCTCCTTCTCTGCATCAGACACCAAGAAGAGGGAGCCCTAGAAAGCCTGAGGACAAGCCCAGGACAAACAGTGCTGGTGGCAGAGAGGGACTCCAACCTTGTCACAGGGCAGTCAGCCCCTCCTCAGTTACAGAAAAGAAGTCCATGTATGTTTCACATGAGACCACGTCTGGGCAAGCTGGTGATGTGGGAAACTCTAGGCCCAGGCCACTTGGTGCAGTGAGCATGGAGGCTGCTAGGCTGGCTTAACTGTATCTGAACACCTCAGGCCCCTCCACAGGCACACTTCTCAGGCAGCTTCCCATAGACTCAAGCAATGCAGCCGAGACTAGGAAGGACGATTTCTGAGCCTCCCCCACAGCGAAATGTCGCTGACACTAAAGGAACACACTGCATCCCAGAAATGCTTGACATGCAGCCCTGTGTACAAGATGGAGCTTGCGCACGCGCAGATAATGAGCGGGGGTAAGGAGCAGGGTAGGAGCGCGGTGCAGCACTGGGTGGCTATAGTCTCACACGCCTACTAGCAAGTCTGCTCTGTCTAATGCCAACACTCTTCTGAGCCAGGACTGTCAGTGTTCCCAACGCTGGGTAAAGACGGGAAGAACTGAGACCCCAGACTGGACGTCTCCCCACCCTGGCATCCGCACAAGGGCAGGGGGCTCTGCGGAGAACTCACAGCGGCCGGAACTCCAACACCCAGATACCAACAAGCATCTGGCCTCTACTAGGAAAGGCGGAGCAAGGCCTCCTCCATCCCAGTGACATCCTTTACGCAGAGAGTGGGCGTGGCTGGCCTCAGCCACACTTTCCAGCACAGGAGCAAGCCCCAGAATTCAGCCCAGCAGGAGGCTAAAGCACAAGCCTGCGCTGTCCCCTAGAGCCAGACGCCGCCGTTCTCATTCCCTTCTCAGTTTCTAGAGAGCTACTGTCCACCCGCTGCCAGCCCTGTACTCAGAGCTGAGGCAAGGACGGGCCCGTGACACTCCCCTCTTCAATGTATGGTTTCAGAAGAGGGAAGATGAAAGACATAAAAGTCGCAGGAATGACACGTGCACTATGTAGCTGGGGGGACCCAGGTACGACCAAGCAGAGTTAGCCACCCCAGGACCCTAGAGGACTGGTTCTAGGGGAGCCCTCATCTCTCAGAGTACCAGGGGGAGAGGAGCCCTGAGCTTTACCAACCCGGCTCCTGATTCAACCAAGACCCTTGCCATAGAGCACCGTAAATCCAGCTCCATGCACAAGTGGGCATGCACCTGCTGGCAACTACAGAAGCTCTCAGCTCTGATGGCCCTCACCTGGACTCCTGAACCCACTATCTGGGGGGCCTGAGCTGTCGGCACCGCTGTCTGCTGCTGCACCTGGGGCTGCACCTGGGGCTGCACCTGCGGCTGTTGCACCACCATCGGAGCTCGGACCTGAGGGAGGAAGGGAGAAGGCAATTTGGAGCCACCCAGGGCAGAGGTCAGTATAACCACTACTTCTGTGGGAACTCTGAATATCAAAGCTTTTCATGAGAAGGGGGATGGTACCATAATGACTTCACTAGCTATGATGTCACCTTAGTGGCCATCCCTTATCCCACAGCTCATCAGAAATGTTTCCCTGGCTCTGAGTTGGCAGAGCCAAGCCCCACCTCCCCCAACCCTGCTGAGAAGTGTGGCCTCCGCACTGGAATATTACCATACAGCCATCACCACCAGCAAAGCTCCAAAAGTCGAGCACACAGCCCAGCCTGCTCAACATCTAGGCCTAGAATGTTGAGAGTGGGCAGGGGGCTGGCTCTCAGGTGACAAGAGTGCCTGTATCTGCTTCTCATGACCGTCCTCAGCCTTCCAGCCTGCCCTTGTGTGCCTTCTATTCACTTGCCACTAGGTACAGGCGTGGCCTGTCCCCACTCCCATCAATGAATCACCAGTAGGAAAGGTCACAAAATCCAAGAAAGTGAACCAAATTTAAATGGCCCCATGATGCCGCTACCCAACTTGGTGACAATATTCTGTTCTGTGTAAATGTTACTGACTGAATTTGCTTTGTAAAGAGATGCATGAGACTGAAAACAACATTTTATATGGTAATGACAGGGGCCTTCGCTCAGAATGGAACTCTGAGCAACTAGCAAACCACCATGGACGTTCAATGGAGACAGCACGTCCTCCCCCACAGTGATAATATACGTGCTGCCATCCACGTCCATGGCCACTGCTGAAATCAGCCAGTGCTCATGGAATGCATACTCCCTCGCTGAGCCAGACGTGAAGTCCAGTGTGGGGGAGCACCACCTGAGTCCCAGTGCTTGAAGAGAGAACATGCCATTTATACACGAGGAACCCTAGAAATTGCTGACGGAAACCAGCTGCATGTGACACCAGGGAAGAACTGAGGCCTACTACCAGTCATGGGTACTCACTAGTTTCAGCTGTGTTTGGGCGTACAACATCTGTCCAGAGAGGGCCGGAGCCTGAGACACCAAAGGCTGGGTCTGTGACTGTGGCGGGAGCTGCGATGGTTGGTTCTGAGCAACTGGTGGCTGCTGGGGCTGCGGCTGGGGCTGGTGGTGCTGTGGGTGATGCATCTGCTGCAGCTGCTGGGGCAGGGTCTGGGAGGGGGGAGGCTGTGGCTGCTGCATTGGTGGCTGCTGCATTGGCGGCTGGGCCTGTAAAGCCTGCTGCTGCTGCTGCTGTTGCTGCTGCAGCTGCAGCTGTGCCATCCGCTGCAGCTGTTGTTGCTGCTGTATCTAGGGGCAGAACAAACAGCACTCAGTCATCCCATTGGCCTCTGGGCCCTGGGCCAGCCTTGCCCCTAGGAAGCCTGCTTGGGCTGTTCTCACACGGGGAAGAGGGAGCACTTCCAACAGAAGGAAACTAAGGACACACCAAGAGTGCATTTGTGCCCTGGCTACCAGAGGCTGGCCCACCCCTAGGCCTGAGAGAATGAAAAAGAATCAAGGGAACTATCGGGAGGGTCGAGTAAGGGGAACCATCTAAGTGCAGCCCTGCAGAAGCTGGGATAAACACTCAGATGACAGATCTCTGAAGCCTTTGCAGTGATGCTTGCTTGGTCTCTACAGTATGTAATAGTAAACCACTCTTGGTTCTGAGAGAGAGGCCTCTAAGATCCAGGAGGATGGCCACTGGGAAAGGAGGCAGAGGGCCAAGGCCTAGAGGAGGTAGGAAAGTGGAGAGGCCCCTTCAGGGATCTCCTCTCTCAACCAAGAGCGAATCTAACAATAGATGCTTAACAAGTCTGGATGCTGACTGCAAATCATGGGAGGAAGAAATTATTTTCTTAGAAGCAGGGTTTCTACTGTGACATTGCCATTCTCTTACAAGACACCAGATGATTAGTGCTGTGTCCAAAAATCAAACATTCAGGGACAAAACAGGAGGCATGCATGTCCTCCAAAGAAACACACCCAGAGGATGGCTCAAGCATTCCTGGATCTTGGCATGTTCTTCTCACTTCCTGTTTCAGTTAACCCTTCCATGAACTGTTTGTACCCAGAAGCTTCCACTGAGCCAGCTGTCAGCACACAGTAGGCCTGCAGTCAGACACTGGAGCCTGGTGGAAAGGTCCTCCTCATGTGATCACAGCACCTTCCTAACAAGTCAGTGCCTATTTCTCCTCCACATTCCAGGCTCTGCGGGAAGCTCATGGAGGAGGAAGCTGAGGCACCATATATGAGGATCTGCTGCTGGCTTTGGGCCCCTGCATGCAGCATGGTGGTTGGCGTGTATCTAGGGCTCAAGGGCCAAAGAACGGAGGCCGAGTGTAGAAACAAAGGCACCTGGTACCTGTTGCTGGTTTTGATGATGAAATTTAATCAGGTGCTGCTGTTGTTGCTGCTGTAGCTGCTGCTGCTGCTGCTGCTGCTGCTGTACTACTGCCTGGAACTGCTGCTGCATGGCATTCTGTTGAGCCTGGAACTGCTGCTGCTGTTGCTGCTGCAGCGCCACCTGCTGCTGCTGGAACTGCTGCTGCTGCTGCTGCTGTTGCTGCTGCTGCAGTGCCACCTGCTGGAGCTGCAGCTGGGCTGGAGATGAGACCCAGGCAGGGGTCAGGCCTGGTGGCACAGCAAGGAACGCAACAAGCAAAGGCCTGCCTCCCCAGTGCTGTGCAGACAGGAAGGGTGGTTAAGATTGTCTGCTACCACGCTGGCCGCTAGAACTTAACAGATGTGATGGGAGCACCATTTGAAACTTATGAAACTTACTATTATGAATTATTTCATAATAATAAAAAGAAAAAGGCTAAGTCTATTGAATGGCCAAGAGGCCCAGCCTCTGGTGACCACTAATCTACTTTCTCTTTATGGATTTGCCTATTTTAGACCATTTCAAATCAGTGGAATCTCGCAATACGTGGTCTTTCGCTTAGCATTGTATTTACAAGTTTCCTCCATATTGTGGCATAATCAGTAATTCATTTCTTTTTATTGCCGAACAGTATTCTATGTGGAATTTCCCACATTTTGTTTATTAATTCATCAACTAGGGACATTTGGGTTGTTTCCACTGTTTTACTATTATGAATAATGCTGATATAAACAATCATTTACAAGATTTTCAGTGGTATAGTTTCTTTGGGAATAACGAAAATGTTCTAAAATTGATTATGGTGATGGCTGTACAACCCTGAATATACTGAACACCACTGAATGTTGCAAATTAAATGGATGAACTGTATGGTATGTGAATTATATCTCAATAAAGCTGTCATCTTTTAAAAAAGAATACAGATTTTTTCTATGCTTTGCCCAGTTTCCACTGATGGTACTTTTGTAAAATTATAACATAATATCACAACCAGAATATGCACTCATTTGTGTGGGTGTGATTATTAAGTTCTATACAATTTTCTCACCTGGGTAGATTCAGCCACCATTACAGTTAAGACACTAAACAGTTCTGACACCACAGGGATCCCTAGCGGAGCCATCCCCTTAAGCAACCCGACCCCTCCACCCCTGGCAACCACTAAGGTGTCCTCCATTTCTGAAATGTTGTCTTTTCAAAAATGTCATATAAGTGGGACAATTAGCTTTTTCATTTAGCCTAATTCTCCGAAGATCATCTGGTCTGTAATATATATCAACAGCTCTCTCCCTTTTATTGCCAAGTAGTATTCCACGGTACAGCTATCTCACAATTTAACCATTTATACCACAAAGGATATCTGGGGTGATCACAGCTTTGGGCTATCACATAAAGCTGCCACGAACATTTGTGTACACAGGTTTTTGTGTGAACAAAAGCTTTCATTTCTCTATGATAGATGCTTAAGAGTGAGATTCTTGAGTTGTATTTTTAGTTTTTAAAGAAACCAAACCATTTTACATTCCTACGAGAAATGTATGAGCGATCCCGCTTCTCCATTCTTGCCAGCGTTTGGAGTTGTCACTATTTACTTCAGCCATTCTGACAGGTGGAAGAACTTTTAAATTTATCTTTTTGTTACAGATTTCTAACTCTGTTTGATACAAAATATTATGTATATGGCAGTAATACTCTGAAATTGTTGAGGTATGCGTGGTTATTTTTATAAGTGTATTTGTTCTATCCACATGCTTAGATGAAATTGTTCATTATGTTGTTCAAATCTTTTCTAAATTTATCATTTTTTTGTTTGCCTAATTATCAATAACCAAGAAATTAATTGCTCAATACATCTTTCATTTTTGAGTCTTTTTCCAGCTTATATTTTAGGTGTTTAACAATTATATAGCTGAATTGTTTTCTTCCATTTATATCTAACATATTTCCTGTTTAGTTAATTCACATTTATTATAAATATTTACATTTTTCAGCTTATTTGTATTTGTCTTTCCTTTTCTAATCTTTTCCCTTTTTTTTGCTTTTTTACTGAGGTATGACTAACAAATATTTTCTTTTATGAATTGTATTTTTGTTGGGTGGGCGGGTTAAACTTTGTATTGTTTGAATTTTTGTTGTTCTTTCCTTATTCCGTTTTTTCTTATTGGTTTGAAATTTACAATCGACATCTATTGTTTTAGCAATACTTTTCCAATTTTCTCATGCATATTTAAGTAAATAAACTATAACTCTAGTTTAACCTCTTTCCCCAAAACAAGGAACCCTGAGAACCCTCTTGATATTTTAAAGTACGTTTTATGTGCACATGATAGACCTGATATCCTTGATATATTCCCCTGACTTCCACTTAGTTTGGTCCCTGTTTATTTTCTTATGGCCACACAGCAGACTTACATTAAGAGGCAGGACAGGATAACGGCTAGGGGTACAGCCTCTGACCTAGACCGCCTTCATTCAAATCCCAACTCTGTCACTGCTTTGTGCCTCAGTTTCCTCAGCTGTAGAAGAGAGACAATAGTCGCATCTACCCCATACAATGAACTAAGATATAATCTATTATAGGGAAAACACTCAAAATAGTGCTTGGAATGTGGCAAGTTGGCTCTGAGCAACATTTTACAGAGGTAATTTTTGTTTACACCAAGGATTCTCAACCTTGTCCCTAATGAATTTTGGGCTAGACAATCCTATGTTGTGGGGTGCTGTCCTGTGCATGCAAGACATTTAGCAGCATGTCTGGCCTTTACCCACTGGATGCCAGTAACACCCCCATAGTTGTGACATTCAAAAAGAGCTTCAGACATTGCATAATGTCCCCATGTGCAAAACTGCTCAGAATCACTGTTTAGATTGACACGTTTACTACCTTGCATGAAAAACATTTCTTTTCCCATCTTATACCTGGCATCTTGGGAAGGACGGTCTGAGAGGTAAGAGGAAACGGTGAGCAATAAGAGTAGGTCCTTAAAATATCTTTTAGTGAAGGTCTCTTAGGCTTTATTTATCTAAAAACGTCTTTGCTTCCTCCTAGTCCTTGAAGAGTTTTGCTGGCACACAACTGTGGTTGGCAGCTCCATTCTCAGTGCTCTAACCACCTTCTACTATCTTCTTGACTCCATCACCGAGTCTGCTGAGTCTACTTATTTAACCTGTGTAGGTGTGCTGAGCTTTTCTCAGCCATCATTTCCTCACATACTGCTGTGCTTCCATTCTCTCCCCTTGTTCCTTTTATTAGACGTTAGTCAGACCTTCTGATTTTATCCTCTACATTTCTTTCTTGTTTTCCATGTTCTCTTCTCTGGGCTAAATTCTAGGTAATTTCTTCAAATGTAGCTTCTAGTTCACAAATTCTTTCTTTAGCTCTAGTTAATCTGCTGTTTATTAATCCATGTCCTTCTTTTCAATAATTTTATTTCTTGTTTCTACAAGTTCTACTTGGTTCCTTTTTAAATCTGCTTGGTCACTCCTGATGGTATCACAGTGCTTGTTTATTTGGAATTCCATCCTTTATTTAAGTACACCAAGCCCATACCTAACAATTGCTATGTGCGCAGCCCAATGTGGGCATTTCCACATCTGTTTACTGCTTCTATTCCTCCTTGTGGTCTTTGCTTCCTTTCATGCCTGCTATCTTGGACTGTGTGCTCACTGCTGGACCTTAACCTGTAGTTCCCATAGTACGAAACTTGGAAGCATTCTCTACCAAACTGTCCTTGCCTTTAGGGGAGCTAGAGATGCCAGAAGCCCCAGCACAAGTTCTACTGGACGGAGGGATCCCAGGTTTGCTTTCTCCCAT